AAATCTTACCTTGTTTGAAAGCTAATACCAAAATCTCCAACAATAAAATATTTCACATTGAATTCAAAAAAATAAATGATTGATTGAGGAAAATTTGTTATTCTTGAAACTTTAGGAGTATTTGAGAGGCTCAAGGAGCTATCTACCACAATGAAGTATGTTTTAAAATCCAATGACCATCATTTACAACTCAAAGCCTATGCACATACATCCACAAAGTTCACAATGGGATTTAAAATCCAAAATGAAATTAAGATTAGGATTCAAGGCCAAAATTTGGCATGGCTTTGCCTTTCATCAAAAGAGGAGAGAGAGAGGGCTTGGAGAACCAAGCCACTCTTATAAAATTGAGTGATGGATTGTAGAAGGGCGGCCATATTTCCATCCTTGATCTCTAAGATTCCTAATGTAGATCTATAACCTTCATTCATCAAAGAGCTAATTTCGTTACCAAGGCTGATGGCTCTTGTAAGTAGTCAAAGAAAGCACTTTTTGGTAAATCTAACTTCACCATTGTCTTCAAAACACCTTTTTATATTAAGATTGACTACTCACATGCCTCAATCTATGTTCATTTGCAATTTTTATGAAAGTTTTTACCTACAAGGATTTTGGCAATTCTTGTAAAATTCTTCAAAATGAGAATTTCATTGCTCCACTTGTATTTTGAAGGAAAAGGTGCTGATATTATTTTCTTCACTCCATGGGGTGAATTTGGTATCACCATTGCATTTGAAAGGCTTCTATTAATAAAAAGAACCACTATTCCACTTGGATTTGTTGAATTTGGAAGAAATCTCAAAATTATCATTACTAAACTTCACTAGATCTTTTAAAAAATTGTAATTCTAACTAACTCTAAATCGTATGATATGATTGTAGGTGAACTCATAGGTTCTTAATCAACCCTCATAGTAATAACTAACAACCTCTAAATTATTAAAATTAACTAAGTTGCTATTTTAATTTTCTAATTCTTATTAATTTAGTCATAATTAACCTAATTCAAGGAATTAGGCTATGATTTATTTTATAAAATATTAAAATTCCAAAAAAATATAAAATTAAATTCTATTTATATAGATCTTAATTAAACATACTCAATTATCATAAAATAAAGAAATAATAAAAATTTAAATATTATATCATAATTAAAAGCTCATAGAGGTCTTTAAGAATATTGTCAATGTAGCTCCTAATTAAAGAATATATATGGAAGAAAGAGTGAAGCCTTCTTTACTTTTATCAATACTTTTTTAATTCTTAATCTTATTTTAAGACTTTTTAATGTCTTATCTTTAAAAATAGTTATTCTAATTCAATATATTATCATATTTGAATGATTTTCTAGTCTTTTTGAGTGGTATAAGAATATATTGAGGATTTATTTTTTTGAGATTCATATCCTTAACAAATACTAAAAAACTGTTGGTATTGATATAAATGAAACATTTCCTTCAATGGCAAATTCACCACCATTAAACTATTATAGCAATTGAACAATAATGACTTAGGATGCATCAATGGATGTTAAAACTATTATAGCAATTGAAACAATAATGGACTTAGAGATGCATCAAATGGATGTAAAGATAGCCTTTTTAAAATAAAAATTTGAAAAAAGACATCTACATGAATCAACTTCAAAAATTTGTTAAAGAAGACAAACAACATCTTGTTTGTAAGTTAAAGGAATATTTCTATGGGCTCAAATAATCACTAAGGGCATGGTACCAATGTATTGACACATTCTTTGTTAATAAAAGATTTGTAAGAAATAAGACTAATCATTCTATATATAAAATGCAATCAAATAAGTTTATATTGTTTGTCATTCTCTATGTTGATGATTTCATTATCTTAATCAATATTCTAAAGATGATAGATTGATTGAAAAAAAAGTTAAAAAATGAATATAAGATGAGTGATTTGAAAGAGCTTCACTATTCTTTAAAAGTCGAATTTGTGAGAGATTGCACTAGAAAGACCATTACAATAAGTCAAAGTAGGTATATTGAAGAGATATTGAAATAATTCGATATAAAGGAATATAAGCCTATAAGTACACCTTTGGAAGCCAATTTAAAGTTGATGAAGCTTACAAATAAAAAAATTGCTAAAATTGAAGATCAAATACAAGATATTCCATACAAAGTAACAATAACTTCACTAATGTATGCAATGATTGGTACAAGGATGGATCTTGCATATGTAGTGAATATTATAAGTTAATATATGTCAAAGCCTAGACCAATCCATTAATCAATCTATTGTACTAAAAAGACCATTTAAAAGATCATGAGGTACTTAAAAGATACTTTCTACTTTAAAATGTACCTTGAAGCTAATAACATTACTTTATATGGTTATTATGATGTAAATTAGAGTGAAGATACAAATGATAGAAGATCAATAATGAGGTATGTATTTTTTTTTATTGAAATTGGAGCTATTTCATGGAATTGTAAGAAACAACTAATAATTGCAAGGTCAACAATGGAGGCGAAGTATACTATGGCAAGCCATAGTACAATAGAGGCAATATGGCTAAGACAACTTTTGAAGGACATTGAAGTAGTATATATGAAAGCAAACCCAATGGAGTGTAACAATCCAAGATATCTTATATTTGAAAAAAATCCAAAGTATCATATAAGGATCAAACACATTGATATTCAACATCTCTTTATAAGAGAAAAGATTGTAATGGGAATGATTGATATGAAATATTATGCAATAGAAGACATGTTTATTGATTTGTTGATTAATGCTTTATATTGGGACTTCAAAGTTCTTTTTTTTCAATACTTCCTATATTATCATTTCTTGTATCTTTGATGTAATTGATTGAATAATTAGATTCTACAACTCTCACAATACAATAGCTTTTGGATCTTGGTAAAAATATTCCAAATTTCATTGTTGACTTATATTTGCATATGTATTTGAGCTATAAAGGCTTGATATTAAAGATGATCAATATTAGTAATTTTGCCTTACTTAACTTGAATTTTGATTCCTCATCTATACATATAGGATATTGTAATGTCCTATATACATGTGTATAGAGTTTATGCTCATTCATTAAGTATTTCATGACAAATGCATGTATACCAAAGTTTCTCTCATCCAACTAATCAATATAATAGTTGGTCAAGGATGATGCCATTGTTAAGACAATAAACCATAAGCAATAAGAAAAATAATACATTACAACTCACAAGAAAATAAGTCAATTTAGATCAAACTAGAAATCTAATCATGAGAAGTAAAACATTGTTTTGATACCATATTATAATTTAATAGGCAAACTTAATTAAGATATATATTTATAAAAATTAAACTCATAATTATATATTAGAACAAGTCTCAACTCACAATACTTTATTTATAGTATTATTCAACAAATGTTTATCAAATTTAGACCTATATGATGTATTCTTTAAAATATTAGTTAATATTTATTAGAATATTAAGTATTAAGTATTTTTTTGATAATTGAATATTTAAAATTTTATTTTTATATCATTTTTGCAATAATAGTAGAACTTAGGTTTATAATTATATTTTAAAATATAAAATTTTCTAATTTTTTTAAATAAAGAAGATAAACATAAAAAAGATATGACATATGAATTTGTACAATTGATAGAATTGAAAGCATGTTAATAATAACTTATACATCTTAAATTTAAATATTTTTTTATTATATTTAAATCACATTTAATATCTTTTAAAATAAATAAATAATATATTATATTATTTAAATAACATAATTATAAAAATTAATAATTTTATAAAATATATATTATTTTATTATTTTAAATTATTTCATATGAAGTTAAAAATCAAGCCCTTCTAATATAAGACATTATCCTATTTGTTCTATAGAACATACATTTTTTAATATAGAATACTAATAAAGGACATGTAAGAAGATTTTAGTTCTTGTACATATTAGAGTTGCATAGGAGAGATAGTTTCACATTTAAAGCTCAATGACTATCTTTTGATGTCATTTATTAAGTGAATTGTCATATCTTAGAAGAATCTAATATAAAGATAATGTCTTAGATTAAGTTGAGATGTCCTACATTAGAAGGACTTGTTAAAGATTAATAAAATTCTAAATTTGATACAAAATATAGATAATAATATATTTACATTTTATTTAAAATTTAATAAATGCTTGATTTTTTTTAAACATATATATATGTACATAGATTATTTGTAATTAATTTAAATATTTAAATATTATTATAGTATATGTTAATAGAAATAAATGTGGTTTATTTTTTTTTATTTTTTTTACAATTTTTATATTTTTTCATTTTATCTAATCAATCCAGATAAACAAATTATCCAAACCACATTCTATTGGTATTTCTTATTTATAAATTTTTCTTTGATACACATATAAGATTAATAAAAAAAAATCTGATTATTACTACAATAAAAATATTTATTTAATTTAAAGCACAAAAGTTATTTTGTCTTAATAATATCACTACAATTAATAATATTGTTTTTGTTAGATGAGGTGTATTCAAATGAGTTAATTTTGTTATCTTTGAATTAATATACAGGTGTGTGAATAATCGTAATATCTTACATTAGCTGATGTTCTACTTATTTTGTATGAGAAATATGATTATAATCTTTGCCTTCACCCATTTCTTCCTAATGTATATTTGAATTTGACCAATGTATATTGACACCCAAGCATGGAATATACACATTTTATTTAAGCATAGTTCATGTCTGTATGGAACACATGTGTAGAAGTGAATGAATTCGTGCTTAACATGTATGTTGATCACGTTGCAACAATATTATAAAATGCTCCACCGGAGAATGTAAGGAAAGCGGGATTTTTCGTTACTTTTGACATGTAAAGAGTGTTTACACAGAATAGCAAATGTGCTTGTTATCTGTGGAAATGTGTGGGCGCACTTCACCGCTACTACAGCATACAGGGTTGTTGGAAGATGATACAAAGATATTGCAAATTAGAGAGAAAAGACTTCTCGTCAATCAATGGTCAAGTACCCTCTACGTATTGCAGAGAATTCGACAATCAGAACCTTCAAGCCTTGGCGTTATATCTGAATTCCATCTAACTATGTTTATCATAATGTTTTCCAAGAATACCAGCTTGCTTGCAGGTGTCACTTTGCCTGCAAATTCCCATCTACAACGATTCCGAGGGCCTAGCTGATCACTGCAATCCTCATGCCACAATGACTTGGTCACATACCTGCAATCTACAATCTATAATTTGTTCATTTCTACGTTGTGAAGACTCTAAAGCATCCATTCTGTACAAGGCTCCTTCAAGGGTGGCAGTAAGCCATGAATGGAATGAGTTAGGGTTGAATATGAATCCGTAATCAAGCTTCCCAGCCACGCAGTAGAGTAGCCTTGGCGACCCGCCCCACCCCAAGGCTGAAAGCACCCATCCGATGACTGCAATTGTGAGTTTGGCAAGTGCTCTTGATGCTGAGGTATGCCTTCTCCATGTACTTCTTCAGGTTGGTATTCACCTTTTCCTCCTCCCAAGGAAATCCTTGAATGTTCTGTAAACAGAGACAGTTGAAGCGGTGAGAAATCGACTTCATGTAGACGTGACTCAAAACCAAAGTCAATTGACAATGATAAATGAATTACCACTCCGAAAACAGCCCCTCTGCAATAGTTAAAAATCGAACTTACCTGAACCCACTCGAAGTAGCTGACTGTCACTCCTCCACAGTTAGCATAGATGTCAGGCAAAATAATCACTCCCCTTTTCGCCAAGATCTGTACAGTAGACGATCCAGGAGTTACTCATTTGTACTAAAAAAACATCCTCGTCTGTACTACAAGGATGCAAAAAACGGTAGGGTACCTCATCTGCAACAGGATCCGTAGGATGATTTGCAGCCTCTACGATGAACTTCGCACTCACATCCTTGGCAGTTTCACTGCAATGCAGAACAACCAATTCGTTAGCCAAAAACCCCCGCTGCCTAGACATGTTGAGGCATGCACATTGCAAAGTATCATATCTGCGAACAACCTGGAGAATGGCATACTCTCAAATCATTGTGGAATCAGCGTAGGTGAAGAAATACCCCGGATACAAGTGAACTACGAAACAAAATTGATGACAACTTGAAGCTAAAAGTAACTCCAGCACTCGGGGTATAAATAGACGAGACTGCAAACTTTGCAACGAATAAGTGGACCATGTCCAACCACAAAGCGTAGATTAGATATTTCTCTACCCATTAATGACACCACCGAGGGCAGCAGGAATAAGCACGTCACAATCCTCAGCGAGCAGAGCAGCTGCATCTAAAGGATTAGCCCCTTCAAACCCCTTGACTCCTCCGGTCATCCGCACGTGTTCATTAAGCGCGGTTATATCAATGCCAGAGTTGTTCTTGATGGCTCCAGTAACATCACTAACAGCCTTAATTTTTCCACCCTTTTCGTGGATAAGTTTCGATGCCCAAGAACCCACATTCCCAAAGCCCTGTCATATCACAATAGAAAATCATGAAAAAATTCACTTAGACAGACGAATAAGATACCATACTGGCGAGCATCAAAGCCATGAAGGTGCAATTGCGAACTAAATAGGGCAGATATACTTTCAATAATCAGATATTCTCTCCAGAATAAAAAAAATATCTACGTCACACCAGCAGCAAGACATCAAGAAATATGAAGCTTGTGACGTGATCTCTTGCAGAAACTTTGGTCAAACGTACCGTACTCAAAATGTTATGACCAATACTATACCCAGCAGACATTTTTTAAAAGTGATCTAATCACTAAAAATATTAAGACGGTTCTACTAGTTTAAGATAGCGGCAGCAAAGGTTGTGCGTTGCGTCCCTCGATGATTCAGGAGGTGGGCACTTACTTGGACAACGAACGTTTGGCCCCTAATGCTGAGGTTATGATCCTTAAGCAGAGCCTCTGTTGCATATAGCACACCTCTTCCAGTGGCAGCTTCCCGCCCAAGAGACCCTCCCAAGTCCTTCATGAAAGTAAAAGAAAAGGATCAATCGTAGGAAAGGGATAGTCATTCAAACATCTGAACAAGCGGTTAAGCTGTACACAGTTTTTGGTAGGAGACATTAACTTACCACCGGTTTACCAGTTACGACGGCCGGAGTATACCCATGAAATTTCGAGTACTCGTCCAAAATCCAAGCCATAGTCTGTACAAAAACAAAGTCGTTGAGATCAGAGAGGGGTTTCTCTGCACTGAGCATGATGAGACGCATCAGCAATACGGCATGTTAGTGGAACACGAGAGAGCTTCAATATACGGAACATACCTGAGCATTGGTACCCATGTCCGGGGCTGGGATGTCAAGATGAGGACCGATGACATCATGGATCTTCTGCGTGAACACTCGCGTTAATCGTTCAAGTTCGGTTGGACTTAAATCCCGGGGGTTACATCCAATGCCTCCCTTCGCTCCCCCGTATGGTATGTTCGCCACTGCAGATTTCCATGTCATCAACTGTGCCAAAGCATTCACCTCATTCAACTCAACCTGCAAAAGTCGAAACGCATTTTGTTGAAGACCGAAAACTCAAAGGAAGCCAGCCAAACCTTCGATGAAAGGAATGTGCATTACGCTAATTGCAAACACTTGAAGATACCTCAGGATGGTATCGAATGCCGCCCTTCATTTGGCCACGGGAGTTGTCATGCTGCACTCGGAATCCGATGTAGGATGCCAGAGTTCCATCGTCTTTGGGAATAGTACATTCAACCTATGAAATGGATGGTCGATTACGGTTAGAAACCAAACTGAGAAAGACCCTTAAGAAAACACATCGCCTCTCAAGCAAATTTGTAATTAACTTGTGTGGGATGGTTGTCAGGCTGGAAAACATATAATTGCATATTAGCTGAAGTGTATTAAGTCTTGGGGCATGGCCGCACAGGCTGCAAGCCAAACCTTGATTTCGCGAAAAGGGATGAGCAAGCTCCGCTCTACTTTCGAATCCAACCCCAGCAACTTCACAGCGCGCTTGAAGTAGAAATTCGTGGCCTCCAAGGCGTTCATAACTTGGGGTACTAAATTAGTAGCCATGATCTCTACCTCGTCACCAGTAGAATACAGAAAATTTTATAAAATGTCCGAAACCTCCTCCCTCCTACGTCGCAAAATTAACCCCAACTCTGTACCACTGCATGACATCACCAATGCAAGGGCAACTTAACTTTCGAAGCGACTCCAACTTCCTAAACATAAACAATCAATGACGAGGCAGAGCCTGCGCAAGCAATCAAACCCGCCAATGTCACTGCCAGAGACTTCAAAAGTTTCACCAACAACTGCAGGCGGTTACTTGATCCTACATAATACCATGATTTGTCCCCACACAGTTGGCCACAATTTTGAGTATAACCACAGCCTACGACCCACATTGCATCTTTAAAACGAATCCCTCTCAAGAACTGTACAAACACAGAAATGCAGTGCTGCGTACTCACTAATTCAACCTCCTGCAACAAATTGAGCACTTGGTAAGCAGCTTCACGATAAATAAAATAAGAACACAAAGATGTCCTCTGCGAACCCCAAAGGTCAAAACTCATGATTCACAAGGCGAAGCGAGAATACGCAATAAGCGACGGAATCCATTCAGCGTCCGAGACTCTTTATATACGCTGCACTGACCCGGAAGAAGGAAGGACATGCAATCGCGAACGGCAGGCGCGGAAACTGATTTGAAATGTGGCAGTGACGAATGGATAACGAACATGGATTTGTTTTGCTGCCATTTGCTAGAATCAGAACACGCATCCGTGTTGTCGCGGCTGATGTGGCGAGCCTAGCCAACCCGCCAACTCCACCCACGAAAACCTCTGACCACATCAATCTTTTCGCATATTCCAACTCGAGATGCTTCCCATGACACCATCCTCGCGACACCGCTCGGCCTGACGCATTCGCCCCGAGTCCATCCACACGCAACACACCGCGCGAGTAGTTGAGGAAAAGGTCAATGACGCCTTCGTCGGAATCTGCCACGCATTGCTCCCGAACTGATCCAAAACGAATGTCGAGGTGGCAAATATATCGTAAAGTGAGTCACACGAGCTTTTAAAGCCCAGACCAATAATAATTAGCCCCGCCGCGGGGTGTGCTGACAACCAAGATCCTCAAAATTCATAGACGGGCTCCACGACACAGCATGCACAACGTGTGCAGTTGTCACAAAGCTTTGCAAGAAATGCCGATATCGTCTCCCTGGGCAATCTATTTCGCCATTAGACAACAGTAGAAGATTATGAGCATACCAAGTGTGTTTACCCAGGCAAACAAACGTCCCAACACGAGTGCCTCATGGTTATGGTTTTTCAATTCTGCACAATGTCTTACTTCGAGTCTATGGAAACAAACTAATGTCAGAGACAGAAGCGTGAACAAGGGGGGTTTGTTGGATAGTTGGCCAGGATGCAAACTCGTTTTTCTGGAGCTTGTGTTGAACCATTTCTGGAATTTCGCAGAGGGTGTGGTCATTCCGGGACAAGTGGAGGCGCGTGGAGATGCCAGCGACGGAGGCAAGCACAGTGATCAAGTGGAAGTCGTCGTCGTCGTCGTGCGATCATCGAGATGGTGCTGCTCCGCCCACGAGGTGCTTCTGTGCACGCTCAATCGTCGTCGTCATGTAGGCGACACTGCAGTACCGGTTTGTGCATAAAATTAGGGCTCCATGTCTGTCAGTGGCGGCAGGTGCACAATGTGGCGTCCATGAACGTATTACATTTGTTGATATAAAAAATACACACATATGTGTGTGTAGATATATATATATATATATATACACATTTACTAGTGGAAACTCATGCAATTGGTCACTAAAAAAAATTGTAAATTATGTATTGTAAATTAAGTTCATATGATAAACTCCATGTTGCATCTATGATTGATGAAAAGTTGAGTTATTGCTTTACTTATTGCTTCACTTTTGATGAAAACAATGAGATATGCAATCAATCAGTGATGATTTTTGTCTCCTTTGGTTTATCCCATTGTCTAATCCCCTAGGTTGTTTTATATACAAGATATATATGCTATTTATTGAAGTTATTAGTTATTCTAAATTTATAATAATTGAAGAGCATGATTGATGGGATTTTCTATAGTTGTAACACATGTCATTGAAACTATGAATGAGATTCATAAATACTTAGTTGCACATTTGCATGTTTTGTTTTTTGATATATCATATCCACTCATTAGAAATAATCTTTGTTGTTTTGATAAATTTAGATTTTTTTTTGTCCTAATTTTATTTTATAGTTTTTTTGGATTTTTTCTTTTAAATTCGACATCTTTTTAATTTATATTTTTTAATTTATATTTATATTTTTTAATTAATTGGCTAAAGATATTAGTAAGGAATGTTGTCTAAAAGCAATGTGATAATTGCTAAGTATGTGATAATTAATGTTGTACAGGTTAGACTCTAATGTCACTTAAGTAATAAGTGGCTTAAAACTACAACATATTATTGTATGTACAAGAAATACAAGTCAATATAAATTTTAACAACATAATATTTTTAGGCATTATTTCTACATTGAGAATAAGAAACTATTAATATGTATATTTTAGAAAATATTTATTTAGAAAATAACATCTATTCTAATAAGATCTAGAAATTTGAGGTTTGAAACTATTAAAATTATATCAATATAAATATTGATACTTGAATATCAACTAATTGTTTGACTATAAATTTTTTTATTGTTGTAAGTATTGTTTAAGAAATTATGGCCATTGTAATAAAATATTTATTGATTTCTTAAAGATTTAATAGTAATACAATAAGAAATAATGCCTTCACTTTTGAAGAGGGTCTATTTGAACCAATGGTAAGAATATTGCTAATATGTTTGTAAACTAATATAAAATTTTAAAATAAATTATTAAAAAAGAAACAATTATCTATAATATTTTTTTATTATTAATCATAATATCTACTTATATAACATGTATGATTAATCACAAGTATCATTCTTTAGGATTTTTTCATATATAAGAACTTATGCAATGATAGAAGCAAGGAATTAAATAAAGATTTCAATATTAACATTACAAATTAACAAAAGATTGATTAAACATAGAATAAAAAGAGAAAAAAAAATAATATTATAGATTCTATAGAATATAATTCTTGATTTTATTTGAAGATAAAAAAATAAAATAATGATACATAGATAAAGTTTATATGCACAAGGATAAAAATTTAAAATATAGGCAATATTAAAAACAAATTATCTATAAGATATGGCAATAAATTATTAAACATAATTTATATTATTGTCTTTATCAATTGTCAAAGTATTTTTAATTTTTTAATATTAGATATAATAAAAGAAAAATAATATAAATATGAGTACTTTTATGACTTTATTGGCAAATTTTTATAAGTCTTTATTATTATTAAAAATATAATATTTTTTTAAAAAAAATACCAATAATTTTTTTTATTACATGTAATAAAAGTAAAATAAAATAAAATAAAATAAAACTATAGAAACAAAGTATGACAAATCTATCAAGATAGGTATAAAAGACATAAATCTTGAAGAAAGAAATCCTTAATGTATTCTTGTGTCATTCAAAAAGATTAGGAAATTATTCAAAGATGGTAATATATTAAACTAAAATGGCTATTATCAAAGATAAGAAGACTAGAAAGACTTGAGACAAGATTAAGAACTAGAAAGGCATTGATAAAAGTAAAGAAGGCTTTACTCTTATTTCTATATATACTATCTAATTAAGAGCTATATCGTGATGTTTTATAGGACCTCCAATATGTATTAACTATATTAGATACATGTCTCAACTTGTAAGGCAAGTTTTCTATATGTGTATCACATAGTTAACTTATTCTAAAATCTACCAACATATGTGGCACATAGTTAATTTATTGACCAAGTTTCTAACCTACTAATCAACTAGAAATATGTTGTTGTATTGTAGTTTGGCTACTATGTAAAAAAACTTACATATATATATATATATAATATATAATTTACTATACAATGTAGTGAAAGCCATGTCATTAGATTTTAGTTGGTTACAAAATGTGATTAGATTACTATTTTTAAGTAATTAATTTAAAATAATTATTATTGAAGTTGATTTTATCTTGATAATAGTTTTTATATATTTAAAGCCACCTTTATTAGACATAGGTGACTCTTAAAATCTTATTTTATTTCTTTTATTTGATATTTGGAGTACATATTATATAAAATTTATTAAAAAAAAGATTATTTTTTTTTTGTATATAAAAGGATAGTTAAGCCAATAATATGGATGAATAGAGATGGATGATAAAAATCTCCATTCCTATTGGCCAAAATTCATGTCCAATTGACTTCAAAGAGGCTGCTCAAGACCTTATTAGGGATTATAATTTTTTTTAAGAGCATTCAAATATCAAAGATTCGGATTGTCAATTTTAGTATTTTCGATATGGTTTTTGTGAAAATTTTGTAGGATTTGGAGTTTTTGTGAAGAAGATATAAGTACTCAAAATAAAGATGTTGATTTTGTACTTATTGTCACTTTTTTGAACATAGCGCATGCAAATATAGGACTTTTGAGAATCGGATTATATGGTTGGAAAGTTGGTTTAAAGAATTATATTTTATGTATAAAAAGTAAAAAATTTAAAGTTGATTTGGAAGAAAAATTATTGCTTGAAGACCGCTCTTTCAAATTGAAGTTTGTTAGTGAATTAATTTCATAAGGGATTTGATTCTAGCCATATCTTGAGTATTTCGACAAATATTTGACTAATTTTTTTTTTATATATTACTATCTTATAAAGCTATAAACCAAATTTTGTGGCATTTAAAATTTAGATTTTTGTGATATAAAGAAAATAGTATTTGGGTACTTATAAATTAGGACTTAGAGTACTTGCTAGATTTTCTAAGATATCAAACAATTTGTAGTAGATTTATGGTTCTTTTTTATTGTATTAAAGCTTAAGAGTAAATACTACATTATTACAAAATTTGAAAAAAATTAACTAATTGCATCAAGAGATATGATATTCTAAAGTTTACAGAAAAAAAAACTTTTGTGAGAGAAAAATATTTTAAAAGGATTGTGCTAGAATTTGGACATTTTATGCAAAGTAAAAGGATTTTTGGAAGCCAAGACTTTCAATATGTTTTAAAATAGAAATATAGAGCTATGACAAACTTCTACAACTCCTATATAATTGCTCCTAATTTCTAGATTCTAATTATAATCTTGTAATTAATCGCTTTTAATAACTAAATCAATCATCTGTCTTCCTGAATTGACTATTCTATAGACTATTAGTCTATTATACCAATATCTTATAGAAACAAACTAATATCTATTCTATATAGCCCCACTCCTAACTGTGCAGCATCCTAGCAAACACACAATTGATTCATATCTAAAAACTACTCAACAAAACTCTACAAAGTTATTATTTCCTCTGGCTTACTCAATTAATCATTTGCTGCATTATCGAATGTAGGTTCTACCGAATCTAGTTCCAATTGCAAATCTTCTCCCTCCTCCAGTCCTTCCATCGACTCCTTTCTCAACTGGTTTGATAGATCTTCATTATACTCTCCCAATTCACTGACCT